GGGGGGGGGGGGGCAGAAATCATAGAGTTAGGTTAGAAGCTTAAGGTTAAAAAGAAAAATGGCGCTAAAATAAGATAGCTCAGTGAATCAATGGTACGCTTTTTGGGGGGTTAAGTAGAATATCACATTTTTTTAACCTTAATCTGGTAATTCCAAGTTTTACTCGATGCGGTATTTGGGTCAGACTAAGAAAAAAAAGAGGGTAGTACGACGTTACATTTCCACGCAACGCCGGGTTGTCGGACTAAGGCGGTACACTAATGATGCGAATACGAGGACTGGGATCGATGGGTGAATGTTAAGATGAGGGAAAGATACCGCATGGGGAAAGTATGTGGTTGGTGGGAGATTGCGGGAGAGGGAGATAGGTGTGGCGGTAGGGTCGGCGGGAGCGAGGGTGGGTGGAGATGAAGGAGGTACCTGGTGAGGTAAGTGGTGGTGTGTATGAGGTGAGCTAGTGTATGCATGTGAATGAGAATGCGAGACAGTGATCGATGGATGTACGTAGGGGAGATGAAGGACTGCCCTTTGCGGCAAGTTTTCTTGTAGACGATACGTACGAAAGCGAACGGGCGTGCTGAGGTTGGGGGGAAGTACGACGAGGCTAGTGGCTGTCTGGAATGAGAATGCGAGACAGTATTCGACGGAAATGTGTAGGGAGATGAAAGACTGCCTGTTGTGGCAGTTTCCTTGGTGTACATCTGCTGGAATGCGAAATGCACGTGCTGACGTGGAGAGATAGACGCACGTGGATGAGAGAGATACAAGCACCAGCGATCGGCTGTACGTAAAAGAGAAAGCGAGGCAGTAATCGATGGAACATAAGTAGTGAGATGAAGGACTGCCGTATGCGGTAGTCATCGTCTCTGGATCGATGCGTAAGCCAATTAGAATTTTGCACTGTAGTGATACGCACATGGATTAGAAAGATACAAGCACCAGCTGGTGATCGTTGCGTGAAAGAGAATGCGAGTACAGTAATCAACGGGAGACGTGTGAGAATGCAAAAACTGCTGCATGCGGCAGCTGTGACGTGTAAGCCAACGGTATCAGAGCGAGATGAACGTGCTGAACTGTAAGGGATAGTATACGCACGTGGATTAGAGATGTTTGACCACAATTTAGCGGCTATCCATGAAAGAGAATGCGAGTGCAGTAATCAACAGTAAATGGGTAGGACGACGTACACACTACCGCATACGGTAGTCATCTCGAATGCAATGATACAAAAGCGAGCTGGGCTTTCTGGACTGTAGGGATAACCCCACGTGGGACTAGAGAGATACACGTACGCCCAGACTAGTGGCTTTCTGTGAATGAGAACCCGAGTACAGTGTTCCACGACAAAAAGACATGGACTACCCTTTGCGGCAGTCATCTCGCATACGTACTAGCTAGGATCCATGCGTGAAAGAGAATGCGAGTGCAGTATTCAACGGAAGACATGTAGTACGACAAAGACCTACTGTATGTAGTAACCGTCATGCGTAAAAGACACCAAGATACGAAGGTCCAGGAATGCGAATGCGAGCGCAGTGATCGATGGATGTTTGTTGTATTACTACATGCTGACTTTATGAAATAAACGGGATAGTCGGTAGTGATATTTATTATGTAAGGACACGGGTTTGGATACAAAGAGAGGACGCGGTGTACTAAGATCTACGGTAGTACCATTTCCAAATATTGACATTTAACCGTATTGCGTCCAGACAATTTCTATCATGATAGCTGAGACATTTTGGAATTTCAGAAGCAACATCTCCGAAAACTTCTTCTGTCGATTCAAATGTGCAGTCAAATAATTTACCTACTTCCATATACCATGATGTTGTATTGTAGCCAACTTGCATACCAAAACATCTATACAAAAGGTGGGGCAAGAAGTCGGAGAAAAAAGAGTCAAGGATGGGCCCTGCAACAGCATTGTAGGTAATTGGTAGCATGTAGGACCAGGAAATGGCCCCCTCGCAGACGTGCCACGTCAGGAAGCTGACGACTATGCAGAAGCGAATGCGAAAGAGAATGCGACCACACGTTGCAGAATAAATCATGTGGAAATCATTCCAATCAAATACATCGAATGGAATACTCACCTTGTAAACAGTTTCTCTCCTTTGAATTTCAACTGAAACGCATTTGGTCGCTGTAAGTAAATTAGGTTGCTAGCCTATCTGCTGGTGGCGGCGTCGCACAACCTAAAGACTTTAGTAGTCCACAAAGTATCACGGCAAATCTCTTTTCTTGAAAGGGTATCCTTGACTTTCAGTCGGCAGGCAAAACAATTTTCATTTCCACAATACGTAAACCTAGCAATTTGGACTAACCGCAGGCTCCCAATGATAATCCTCTAGACATTCCTCACGCCCGCACGTCTCATAACCGTACGTCATTATCCTACTGAACTTGCCACTGCGTGAAAAGCAATGCTTGCACAGCGAGTTTTGCGCCCATCCATCACCATGTGTGGATTTAAAAATAGAGATGTCGTGCATCCATTCATCACCTTTGTCATCCTTGTAGACGGACACGCTCGTATCAAATAGGTGCAGGGTCCTTACGAAGCTTGGGGTTTCTGGCGGCTCCGGGGTTGCAGAAGTGTATTGCCATGCTGAGAGTTTCACAGGGGTTGTCGGCTGCGGTATTATACTAGGCTCTGGACTCTGAATGGCGATGCTGGACTTGGTATTTGCGTCATTCGGGAGGTGTTCAATGGGCGTGTTGATCACCGCACCAGCCAATGACCTTCCCGTAAATTTTAGTCCGGGCAACAAAAGTCTGTATTTATCAGGAGAACTTTTGGGGGACGTGGTGAGATGTGGCTCGCTGTTTGAAGTAGTCGCCGACTTCCGTGTTTGCGGCGATGTCAGTGGGCGCATCTTTTTCAAGAGCAGTTCGTCTTCCGTGTCATCAACACTGCGTCCTCTCTTGCGGGCTGCGGTTTTGTTAACAAAAGATTATCAGCGTAATATTGACTCAAAGTATGGAGAAACTGATGTGAGATCCAGCCGCCCCTTGCTCATCCTGGAGTTATCTAGCCTGTTGGATTCAGGTAGGACAGGATAAGTACATACAAGCCTTACTTCTACCCTCAAAATGAGACAATGCGGTGGCTGCGTTAGAGGAGGACGCAGTCAATGCAGAAGTTGGAGCTTCGCTAGAGGATGTATCTGACGACTGGTCAGATCCGCAGGACGTCAGTGGCGAGCTTGATTGGGTATGTTCATCGGGTACTGTTCGCAGTGGGATCTTTAACTTTTGTAGATTGAGTCGCGGCTGTGATGAGGGCAGGACATCCGCGTTCAAGACATATTCGTCACTGGAAATTGTCTTTTGCTCGATTTTCGGAATGGCACAGGTCTCGTTATGACGGTGGCTCACTGTGTAGTAATCTCCAGACGAGGCTACAGTCGATTGGCTTGACTTGAAACTTGCATGCTGAGGCAAGCTCGAACTTGGCGGTATGCCTTCGGCCTTGGTTATGTTCTTCTTCCTCGAACGTGCTTCGTCGGCTGCTCGAAGTTTCTCGCGGGCGTCTCGAGCAGCGGACGCACCACCGACCCAGATCGAAGGCACGCGCTTCTCTGCATTTCCAGTGGTGCCCACTCTATTCACGTCAGTTATTTGGGTAGTGAGGGGTCCTGGGGAGAACAGGATGTTGCTCAGTTATTGTACCTTGAACTGTTTCGCAAAGTCTTGTCATTGCCCGAAGCTGTCAGAGTGCTGACGCCACCAATCTCGTTGAGTAGCTGTTTGAAGAAGGACGGAGGAGATCCCGGGTTGCTAGAAGATTCCGATTTAGGCTGGCGAGGGGTAGTCATGTTGTGTTAGAATGCTCATGAGTGGAAGGCTAAGCAATGCAACACAGCGTAGTTGAGATATGGGTGAGGAAGACGAGGTGAGGGTGGCATGAGGAAAAAGCTTGATGCTATCAGAATGTTGCCCCAAGGAAGGTGTCAGTGTCGCGTAAGGAAAGAGGCAGGAACAATTCACTTTCGGCAGCAGCCACGGCACGAACGAGACTTTCATGTGACTCGGAGAGGAACATGCACGCAAAACAAATCATGACGTGTGAGATTAGCTACGAGATGCCACATAGCTCTCACTGTATGGTATACTACAAGCCTCGTTCTATCATGCAGAGGCCTTTTCATTGCGCCTGTTCATGTCGTGCATTGCTCGTGTTCTTCATGACTCGGACATTTCAGTGTCCTCAGCCTTGGCCAGGCCATGCTCCTTGAGGAGAGCATCGATCTCATCCGCTCCCCAGAGGTGGTGGTAGATCTTTCCAGTCTTGGTCTTTCCTACTGTCGCGAATTCAACTGCGGATTATTAGCATTGTCTTGTGGGGAAGCGGAATCGGAGACGCACTCTTCTCGCTGCTTAGCTTAGTCGAGTCCATTGTCTTGCTCAGCACCTTGACAGCAAGCCCACATGCCTCCTTCAGACTGCAATCCTCCTTGTAGTCCTGCTTCAGCAGACTCTGGGCAGAGGCATTGTTCGCACCCACGCTCGTTGCCTTCCAGCCGCCGTAGTTGCCACTAGGGTTGCTCTGGTACAACTGGAACTGTCGCTGCGGGTCCCAACCGGCGTAGATGAAGGACACACCGAATGGTCGGAGACCACCGTGTTGCGTGTAACCTTGCTTGAGATCGCATAAGCGGCGGACGAGCTGCTCGCAGGGAATGTCTTCGTTGTAGGTGAGGAGATAACGTTGGGCGGCTTGACGGGCGTAGTTGATGAGGATGTTAGCGTCGGCCGTCATTCCTGCAACAGCACAAATCATGTTGCTGTAGAATTGTTAGCATAGCAGCCTAGGGTATTTGCCCTCAATTACGCACTCGTTCAGGATGTATAGCTTCTCGGCCGATGTGTCCTGCTCCAACAACTTGCTGGTGACCTTTCGCTCTGCGGCCAGTACAATGCCATCCTGGGCCAAGATGCCTAATGCTGTTCCGGCGTGCGAGATGGCTTCAAGCGCGTATTCGACCTGGTAAAGGCGGCCCTCTGGGGAGAAGATGGTCGTCTATATACACAGTCAGTTGCCATATTGCCGCCTGGAATATCACATTGCGTACTCGGGAATCGTATCTCCGCGACATGATTGCACTCTACACGGATATTCTGGGGTGTTGAGGTTGTTGTCGCCGACAAGACAAGGGAGGATGGTGGGGAAGTCGGCGTGGGCTGGTTGGTGCTGGTGCTTGTACTCTAAGAGCTCCAGGCACAAGCTCCTACGCAGCGCGTCGGCGATTCCGCTGTGCTTGGCGCCGACCACATTTTGGATCCAACAGCCGCAACACCAAACCTTGACTATTTCTGCTACGTGAGAAGACTCTGGATGTTTCCGGGCTCTTCTGACTAGCTACTGTTTCAATATGTCCGACATTCCCGTGCGACCGCCTGCACCGCCGCCACTGCTTCCTCCAGGCTGGACAGAACACAAGGCGCCGTCTGGTAGCTAGAGCTCTACCTGCGTCATATGCCTCCACTAACACATCTCAGGACATTCTTACTATTACAACAAGGAAACTAAGAAGTCGACTTACACGCGGCCCGTAGCAGAGACACAATCACTCTACCAACCAACGCCCGCCGTTGCGTCTGCCGCGCCCACTCCCTACGCCGCGGCGCAAAAGTACGACGCTGGATACGACCCGCAGTCTACGCAACCAACCACTCAGCCCCAATCATCGCTCAACGACTTCATATTCGCAAGCGCGCCGAAACAGTTCCCCCGGCATGGCGGAGCGCAGCAGTCAAGAGGTGGATATCATGGCGGAATGCGTGGTGGACACAACAACTTCAACGACCGACGAAGAGAACGTGACGACCGGCCCAAGCATCGCCAGGATATCCCC